CCCCTGGGAAAAGCTGTATTTATGCTTGTCTAGCATGCTGAGTTCTTCCAAAATTGCTGTGGATTGCATGTGCTCTACTTTACAATTTCTACAGCAGGTAGTAGAAAGGAAAAGAAGAGACAATAAGAGGAAGATAAGGGTGGAATGGGACTAGGTAGAGATGTGTAAATTAATAGCAGGTGAAGTGGTTATGTTCCATAATACCTCCAAACAAACAATTCTTCTGAGTAAACCTAGTCGATCTGTCAGTCTTGAGCATCTCCATCCACCCTAGAGTCCATTTAACACATGATCACCAGGTTCTTCTCTCCCCCTGCTCTCCTGCCTGCCTTTCATTCTACGACCTTCAACTTGCTCTAGCAAAGCCGGCCTCTGACTGTGCAGTCCATCCCAGTGCGGGGCATAAGACTTAACTTGTTTTTTTCTTGCCAACCAAGATGTTGAATCAGGATTTACATTCAGCTACTATTAAGAGAGATCAGAATTAACAGTGGCTTAAAGAATATAAAAGTATATTTCACTCATTTAACTGAAGTTCACATGTAGACAGTCCAGGGCTGCTGTGACAGTTCCCCAGTGTCCTCAGTGACCCAGGCTCCTCCTTCTTTGTATTTCATTATCCTTAGCACATGGCTTCCATTCTTCAAGTTGCCTTCTATTCCTAGATGACTGCATTCTAGCAGGTATTGGGAAAAAGAGAGGAAGGCAAAATTGTCTCGTTCCAGCTCTGTGTCTCTCCTTTGAGGAGCTTTCCTTGCCATCAACAACTGCTTAAATATTAGTCAGAACTTAGTCAGAAGGCACAGGAGGTGCTGGTAAGTGTAGACTTTAACCTGGGAACACCGTAGCTTTCAATACTATTGAGAGATAAATAAGGAATTTGGGGTGATACTTGTCGAGTAGACAATTAGTATGTATTTGCCACAGATATCCTCATCCTTGTTTTTCACCTACTTAAATTCTATCTATCTCCTTCAAATTTATTTCATTAAATATCTTCCCATAAAGCCTTCCTTAAATAATCCAGCTCACAGAACACCTGCTGTTTCTATTGCTCAATTTGGGCTGATCAAGTGTTATGCATTGTCTTCACAGTGAACTGGAAGCTTCTCAAGGGTAAGAACTCTGTTAAATATTGTTGTAGCCTCTTATAGCATTTAGTAGGTGTTTGGTAATATTTGTTAAATAGATAACACATAGGTTGATTCGAAGAAAGGTAGAATCAAAACAGCCCTGATGTAGTAAGTATGAAAAGATTAACAGAGTAGAGGAATAAAAAGAACATGTACGACTGTAAAGAAATGGAGAGGGATTAGGGAAGTCTGAATTTCGCAGGTGGAATAGATGAATTGAATTAAAGGGCTACAATGATTATTCCAAATACATCTCTATGGTCAACAGTAGGGCTCAATAAACATTGCTAAGTTTTTAATCAGATATTGACTCATACAGATTTCTTTTTGAACCTAGTAAAAGAGACATGAAAATAATAGGTGGAGAAAAGATTTATTATCCATAAACTTCTACAAACTTGGGCTTTAACGATCTTATTTCTATCATAAACTACAAGATTTTTCTCTTTTCCCCAATTTTACTGTTTTTTTTTTTTTTTTACCAAGGTGAAACCACAAAGGATTTAGGTATAGCTGTTCAAATGATGAAAAGGATCCATTCCTTGATGGAAAAATACCCAGAACTTTTGCAAGAAGCAGATCGGCATCTCATAGTCAGATGCCTTAAGTATTTAGGATTTGATGAGTTGGCAAGTTCCTTATATCCAACCCAGGTAATATTTTCAGAATATGTCCATTTTAGTAGAATAATTGTTAGGTAAACATAAAGTATCTTCCATGTACAGTCACTTCCTCTATACTGCTTTTACTGAAAATATTATTATTAGTAGTAATCCAGCTGTCTAATCCAAAATTAGAAAATTTGTACAACTGCTTGCCTGGACAAACAGATTAAATGTAGATAATCTCTGCAGACCCTTAACACTACCCTGAATTCTAGCAAGACATCTCAAAACTACAGTGTGATTATTGAATTGTCTTTAAATATGTCAGGTTGTAGCTACATATACCATGATGTATATTTGAAAATCTTGAGGTCTGCTAATTTATTCATAGTTAAGATGATGATTTAAGTGGTAAAGGCTTCACGAAATTTAAAAGGTGGTAAAATGCTTTTCACATAGAAGCTCAATAACAAATATTTTAATTATTTAAATAACGTTATAATTTAAATCACTTTCAAAATGGACTTTTAAAATAATGTAGGATGCAGGAGATGACATAAAGAAGAAGAAAAAGAATAAATATTCAATTGGCATTGGACCAGCTAGGTTTCAACTACAATACATGGGCCATTATTTGATACGAGATGAGAGAAAAGATCCAGATCCCAGGGTCCAGGACTTTATTCCTGACACATGGCAGGTAATAATGTGAATGAGACAAAAATTCTTGTATTTTCTTATTATATACGATCTCAGGAGTTTCAGATACTGTGGGTCTACATATTATATTTGGTGTGAAATTCTTAATATTGAGTCATGTCATTTAAAGATATTTTGTTATTGAAAATGTCAAATGTAGACTATTTGTTCATGTTTAAAGAAAGTAAAATTTTCATTTAGTATATAGGCCATTTCCTTGAAGTTACTCTGATGAATTCACGTATATAGCCTTGTCCGTGTCATCCAGATGTATCATTATGGAGCAGCCTCCAGGTTTCCCCTGTGTCAATAGGATTTCATATGTAAATATACAAATGTGCACAGAGAAATTTGAGTACTTTAAATAGTAGAGGACATTGTTTAGATATTTACACGTGGCACCTGTCACCATAGTAGCTATTCTTCTATAATTGTATGTAAAATTAATATTGATGGACATAAATATTGGAAGAAAAGAATGCATTTCTGCATACATTGAGTCATATAAAAGTTTCTGAAAATTTTTATAGGTTCAATCTAATAGACTATCCCGTTCAGAATCTGACTTTACCTTTCTTATGTTAATGATGGTGGGATACCTTAAAAAATTCATGCCACCTTTTTCCGAGTAGGAGGATTAATTCCTTACTTCAGTGCAGACATATAACAACCAAATTAATTCCATGCACATTGTAATTCTTCTGATGCTCACTTCACTCTGAGGTGTGGCTGGGAGTGGACCAAGGGTGAGGTTGTAAGGTGTTTTTCCATCTTCTGCCCATCATGTAGGCTTATGATTCTTTGACTAGTCGTCAAAAGGATAAAGCTCTCACATTCCCTCCAGAGTAGGCACCTGGCATTTTCTTCTATAGAAAGTAGAAGATAAGTAGCAACATCAAGAATCTTTTGTATTTCTTCTCCTCAACCATTTTTTCTTCATTACAAAAATACGTACTGGTTGCTTCTTACTTTCTCAAAGCAATTCTGCACTTACTAGATGACAAATAATTACAAAAAAACTTCCTAATAACAAGATATTTTATTCAAACTCACTCTGAATTTTTCACACATAAGGAAGGTATTCCTTATGCTTAAAAGCATAAAAATAATCTCTTCTGAGAGGATGCCATGAATTCTTCAGATTTTCCTATAAACCTTTCTGTGTTTTATAACTAACTCCCAGTCATTTCATTTGAGGTTCAGAAAATCATATTGGAAGTGTATTAATATACTACATTGTTTGCTAACACGCTCACGTTATTGGTACAAATGTTGCTCTGAACCCTGCAGCGAGAGCTCCTCGACGTCGTGGATAATTATGAGTCAGCAGTGATCGTTGCCCCAACGTCCTCAGGCAAAACCTATGCTTCCTACTACTGCATGGAGAAAGTGCTGACGGAGAGCGATGAAGGGGTGGTTGTGTATGTTGCACCCACAAAGGTAGAGCTCGAGTGAATGTAACATTCTCTTTCATTTCTGAACCTCCTCCTTAAAAATAATGCACATGGTTATGTGGTAGATCTAGTTTACTTTATTTTTTAACCTGCATTTTCACATTCCAGGTTCAGAGACTAAAATAACACTTTCTGTAGAACCATTTTGAGAGAAAAGTCTGGTCTTGCAATCTTGTTGTGAGGCATAATGCTTGGATTGAAAGAAAGATCCTCACTTTGCTGGGCAACGTTAAGTTATCTAAAGTACCTAGCATTGCCTCTGCAGGGTTTATGGCATGTGTGTGATCTGCTGTTGGGCATCAATGACTGGCCTGCTTCTCAAGCCAGGCTATTTGACCATATTTCTTTTTATGTCTAGTACTGCTTAATTTTGACCTCGACAGAATGATGTTTGGCATTTAGGAGAAAGTTTGATTTATAGGAAATATAAGTCTGCATATCCTCATTCGCAGCTCTTCGTTTTAATGTGGTTACTCTTACAGACAAATTTAGTTTGGGTGATTCTAGTTCTGTAGACTACAATGGACTCAGACTGCATTTTAGTTTCAAGGAAATTGTGTAGTGTTGAGTGACTTGTGGTTAGCCTCAGAACCAAACTGAGCAATATGACTAATTGAAATTAGCATTTTATTTTTGATTGCAGCTTTTTTGTTTTTCAGACATTCTCCTATCTTTTCTAACATTGCTATTGTCATTTAAAAAGTTTTTGCCATTCTGGCAGGTGAAAACTGCTATCTCACATTAAAATTTGTATTTCTATGATCACTAGTAATTTGCGCACTTTTACTTATGATTTTGAGGATTGGCATACATTTGTGAACTACCTATGGATGCATTTGCCTACTTTTTCTTTTGGAGGAGGGTTGTCTTTTTATTAATTAATAAAAAAATTTATATGGTAAACATATTAAATCTTTTTCTGACATAAATTATAATAATGTATACTTTCATTTGACACTTTGTCATTTGACATTATTCTGGTCATTTTAATAACAATATTAATATCTTTATATAGTCAGATCTATCAATATTTTCATTTGGGGTTTTCATAAGTGTGCTCAAAAGTATGAAAATATAATATGTTTACTTTCTAAAGTCTTTATGGTTATGTTTTTAAATTTACAGTTTCATCTATGCGGATTTAAAAATTTTTTTGGCATAAAGTACGAAATAGATGTTTGTAGGTTTCCACACACTCAGATTCCACTGGATAGGCTACTCGCTTGATCCAGAGCATTGTTCTATTCATTTATGTATTTATTCAAACTTTAGGCAGCTGTCAGAAGACATCGAATATAGGAGACACAAATCTGTCTTAGCTATTCTTTGTTTGACCTTCCTTCTGTGATAGACTCACAGCTTATTTCTAAGCCTTGGTCATCCAGTATTCAGCTATTTTTTTCTGATGTGTGGGTAACCTTTCCTGGTTTTCCTTCTGATGAAGACTTTTTTCCTGTTTTACTTTAGGTTGAAGTTTATCAATGAGGCTTGTATGCTTAGTCAAGTATCTCAAAGAGAGCACATTAGTGCATTTAGAATAGATGGGTAGAGGAAAGAGGTTGTTAAGCTTTTTGAATTCATAGCAGGACATACTTTTAGAGAGCTCCTGTTGTGCTCTGAGATTTCACCTCTCTGTGCTTTATGATGTCACTAATGGATCTCTTTTCTTGTCAATCAGGCTCTTGTTAATCAAGTGGCAGCAACTGTTCAGAATCGTTTTACCAAAAATCTGCCAGGTGGTGAAGCTCTATGTGGTGTTTTTACAAGGGACTATCGTCATTATGCCCTAAACTGTCAGGTAGGGCACATTAATTTTTAAACTTGCTATCAAATTATATAACAGTATGTATATGTATCTTTGACTAAAAATTCAACATCTTCACAAAGCTTTGTGAAAATAATTTCCTTGAATTTATGAAAGACAAAATAGCTTTAGATAAAATGTGATGTTGTTATATTCCAAAGAGTGAGAAGTAGAACTCACCTTTCTCTAAGGACACTTATATTTTGATTTCAGATTTCAGTTATAGTTCATTGCATTATTTTGGTTTATAAATGAATTCAAAATGATCTGAGGAGCCCTATAAGTTATAAAAAATTAACAAACACCGAGTTCTAATCAGAATTACTTTTTCTTGATAAGTATCCATTAAGGATACTTATTAAAATTTCAAAAATGTTGTATTACGGATAGTATTATCTGGTGTTAAGTGAATCATAGACAGTTTTCCTCCTTACTGAACTCATAGATCAATAATTAGGACTAAACAAAAAGTGAATACATGATTATAGAACATCGAATAGTAGACCACATCTTATGACTTAGCTAGGTAGGGGTATAAACATTGGGTCGTTTTGGCTCAATGTGGAATGACACTGACAGGTGATATTCACTTCAGAATTCTGAGCCAGGTTGTCTGAGGCTTCATCAGGCCTTCTTTGCAGTTTGGCTTCTTCCTCTATCCAATCCTGCTTACCCCTCTCCTTTCATAGTTAATTCTTAATAAACATCTTTCAAACCAGACTCCATGTCATGGTCAGATTTTAAAAAACCAAACCTGTGACAATGAACAATTTCTATTTTTAAACTCTGAATCCTCATAAACAAGAATTTAAACTTCAGATCTGATATTCTATTATTTGGGGCCCACAAAAATTACAGTTTCATATGGTGCAAACCAATACATCATAATTTTAATAAAATTAATTATCATTAACAATACTACATCCTAATTATCGGCAGGTACATTCAGGACTCATAAGTCTATCTTATATATTTGTATAACTATGCTTGCACATAGAAAGTGCTGAAGTTGTTAGTTCACATGATATTATTATTTTTAGGTGCTTATTACAGTGCCTGCCTGCTTTGAAATTCTGCTGCTAGCTCCTCATCGCCAACACTGGGTAAAAAGGATCAGATATGTTATATTTGATGAGGTAGGTTTGGTATTTCTCTGTGTTAACTTCCTACTGTGTGTAAATCCTATAGATCAAACTTCACTCTAACGAAGATCTTTAGTGCTCGGATGGAGTTCGGATTGAGAAGGCAATTCCTGCTGAATGGTTTCCCCAGTGAATCACAATCTTTTGGCTCCCTTTTCCTGTAGGGTATTTTGGTACACCCTGCAGAGTTCTGTGTAGGAGAGGGATCTTTTGTTGGTGACTACTGTTTCAGGGAGAACAGAATTCAAATACCATGGCATAAGTTTCCCTGGTCAGATATTTCAAAATCCAATTTTTGATCTCTAAAGCAAAGAATTTTCAACTCTAACAATGATGTCAATTGCATAAGGAATTACAAAAGTCACTTTAGGAATACAGTAATTCAAGGGGGGTATTTTTCAAAGGTTGTATGTGAGGGACTCTAAGGGTTAGTGCAGTAACCCAGAGCTAGTAGTTTACCCCAGGGCTTAAAAGGGACAAGGTGAGGAAGCATTTACTGAAACTCTGAAGAAGATTCTGATTGGCTTTGCCACGTTGTAACTAGTATTTACCTTAGTCGAGGAACATAGCTGGTTCAAGGTAACCGTGCAGGAAGGGAGCTGATGGAACAATGACCTCCACCTCAGTCTCTTCCCTACTTCTGATCCCTTGCCAAGGCTCTTCATTAGCCAAATTCAGTGGTACCACAGAGCATGGGAGCCCTTTTGAGGTAGTCCCTATAGGTCAGTTTCCCTGGGCAGAGAGAGCAGGAAGAAAAGCAGTGTAGATTTATAGGGGCAACTGGAAAATATTTAGCAAAGATCTATAACAGCATTATTAGGAATATTTCTTCAAAGAAATTTAAAACATTACAAAAAGATATATTCTTTTGCTCCAAGGAATTTTCAATTTAAACAGGAAAAAGATAACCATGTTATAGTTAACTTACCTTTTCCTTGTTGTAAACTTGGAGCTACTAAAATGGCTGTGTTTTTGGTTTGTTTGATACTGATTTATTGTATGAGAGAAATTCTAAAAGTTTGTGGAAAAATAAAAGAAAATACTAATCTTTCTATGAACTTTTTGAAGGCCCCTCATATTTATTTTTGTTTAATCTATATATATTCCATCATGAGGACTTGGTACTTCAGTTTTCTCAATTTTATATAAGGGTAAACTGCAACATTTTGAAAGCTAATCTTTATTCTGGCAGGTCAGGGAAAAGTGCTATCTAGAACAAAGAACAAGTTAATATTTGGTGAAGTGGTATATTATCTGACCAGGATGAACCCAAATGGGCAGTGGAAAAAAAAAATATATATATATATATATAAAATTTTCTGGCTCTGATAGTATGTCCTTTTGGTTGACTGCCAGGTGTCTAGTTTAATTTGTTTAATGAAGACCATATCTGAGAACCTTTCCTGAATCTAGTTCAGTTTGCTTTATTTGGTCAAAACACATCCTTTCATTTATTCAGCAAATATTTAAGGAGTGCCTCCTCAGCACCAGGCATTGTGTCAGTGCTAGGAATATTCAGGTCTAAAGTTACAGTTTAATTGACAAAAGGGAATTAAACAAGTAAGCACACAAATGACTAGGCCAGTCCACAATGGTACATACTGTGAAGAGAAGGATAGTCTGTCATGACTGCAGTAATGGAAGGGTGGTGGCAGGAGGACAGATCTTGAATGGGTGGTCAGAGAAGTCTTTCTTACAGAGTTATGTTAAGATAAATGCTACAGGTTGAATAAAAGGGGGTAAGATTATTTTAAGCAGAAGAAACAATATATGTGAAAGCTCTTGGCTAAGAAGTGTGTGTTCAAGGAACTAAGAAGAGGTCTTTATGTGTGGAGCATGGGAAAGGTTGGGGAGAGTGGGGTGAGATGAAGCTAGAGAGGCAGCAATGGGCAAATTATGCCAGGCCTTATGCACCCTATTAAGAAGTTTATGTTTTGTTCCATGTGATTTCGAAGAAACTTAATAAGGGACATGGTGCAATTTAATTCATCTTTTGAACATATCATTTTAGCCATGATGTGAAGAATGTAAGGGCTGGGAAGGGAAGCGAGGACAGTAGTCAGGAGGATAGTGAAACTGAGATGTGATGGTGGCTTGATTATCAGTAGACATGAAAAGAAATGCACAGATTGAAAGGACTTTTATGAAGGTGAAATAAAGAGGAATTATTGGAGGATTGGTTTTGGAGACAAGAAAATTCAGGTGTCAAGATTTTCTATTGCTTGAATTTATTTAAACTTGGCATCGTCAATGAAAGGTAATGGGAAAGTATGTATGAGAATTTCAAGATTCCATGTCTTATTTTTATTTGCCATTTTTAAAACCAACTTTTCAATTGGGATTTTTTTCTCTTTAATAGGTCCATTGTCTGGGTGGAGAAATTGGAGCAGAAATCTGGGAGCACATCCTTGGATTCCATGTCTTATTTTTATTTGCCATTTTTAAAACCAACTTTTCAATTGGGATTTTTTTTTCTTTAATAGGTCCATTGTCTGGGTGGAGAAATTGGAGCAGAAATCTGGGAGCACATCCTTGTCATGATCCGATGTCCCTTTTTGGCTCTTTCGGCTACCATAAGTAACCCTGAACATCTCACTGAGTAGGCATTGGGTTCCAGTTTGGACAGAATGTTTACTTATTTAGAATTTTTGAATTTCATACTTTCTGTATGGATTCTGAAGCGTTTCTTAACTTTCTGGTGAATTTAATGGCTTACCTCTAGATCTTCAAGGACAGCTTCTCTTTAGCACCTCTTGGCAGGTGTTGAGAAAAGCCACCCTCAAGAAAGAAAAATCATGAATGCCCCCCAGATCTGCAATGGAGTAGGAAATTGGCACCCACATCAGAAAAAAGAATAATCAGAAATGACAGACTTTTATTCCTTTTTTTTTTGTCCTTTCCCAAGAAATAAAAAGTAAAATAATATAATGACACACTCAGCCATGGACCCTGAGATCCTTGTTCCACTTTGTAGAGATGTTTAGAAAGACAGCGAAACTTTATTAGTTGAAAGTCTTATATCATTTTGTCATTGGGTTTGATTTTTGCCTTCTAATAACAATTATAGCAACAACTCCTGTAATACCTATTATTTGCCAGGTACTGTTCTAAGTGCTTTGCATATCTTATTTGAAATGCTCAGCATCCCTTATGTTTTACTATAATTTCCATTACTGCTTTTAAATAGTAGCACTTCCAATACTACTACAATTATTTACATTTTAAAATGTGGAAGCTGAGGCACAGAAAGATTAAGTGATTCAAACAAGAGCCACAGTTAGCAGTAAGAAGGCTGGGATTCAATCTCAAGTTGTCTGGTTTCAGATCCTATTTCCTTAAGTGCAATTTTTAATGCACCTGAAACTTTCTTTAAACTGTTAAATTTCATGGCAAGTAGTTCCATATTCTGTCTAAATAATACGTAAATTTATTTTTTAAGGTGGCTACAATCAGTGAAACAGTACTGGAGACAAGAAAACAATAGAATGGAAAAAAATATTGCTTCTAAGAGAAATGCTGGCTATCATGCCAGTGTTCCCAAAGACTACTTGCAATTAAAACAATCATATAAAGTTAGACTTGGTATGTTTAATTATTCATATGAAATTTAGCTATTACTTTAAAATTATTACAGTAATTACATTTTCATTGATTTGGAAATTTTTGCTCTTTATTTTTAGTGCTCTATGGAGAGAGGTACAATGATTTAGAGAAGCATATATGTTCAGTAAGACATGGTGACATTCATTTCGATCATTTTCACCCATGTGCTGCACTAACGACAGACCATGTAAGTAATATTTTAGCCAGATTTGTTCTGAGTAATATAAATTATTTGTATACATCATAACTGAAAAGCTGCCTAATTGATACTTATCAAAATTACAAAATAGATACTTTCTTTTTTTTTTTTTTTTCTTTTTGTCTTTTTTCGTGACCGGCAACGGATCGCAAACCTCAGTGTCGCGCCCGTACCGGACCGGGACCGGCCACGGGATCGCAACCCTTGGTGTTGCTCCCGCCCCTCACTCAGCCAGTGAGCGGCCGGTCTGTACGCGGGATCCGAACCCTCGGCATATAGCAGTGCGCCACCGGGCCGGCCCCAAAATAGATACTTTCTAACAGATATTTTAACCTTCATTTAAAAAAAGCAACAAGAATGTCCTTCCTAGTTTTCACTGGTTCCTCAGTGGTGTATGGATCCACAAAGCTTAAAAACTACTACAAATTTTAATCCGAATTTTTGTTAATTTTATTTATTCTTGGACATTATCTTTGCCCATTTTTCTTCTTCTCAACATGTCTCTGTCCACCTCTCTGAAACCAACTCTGCTCCCCGTGCAGCTACAACTTTATGTGGGCAGCCTATAGTACATGTGAAAATCTGATCACTATGAATTAGGTTAAAGAAGGAAAAGACACTTTTCACTAACATAGCAATCACAACGTGATATTCTGGTGGTGAACCAATAAGGTAGAGGCCTTAAGAGGATTTCAGTTAGGCACTAGGATGCAAATGG